CGGTGGGTGCAGCAGAACGAAACCAGGCGGTGCTGCTCTGTGAGGAAACCGGAGAGGCCGGAGCGGACGACTTGTGAGTGGATTTGCTTGAAGTCCTTCATTGATTTGCAGTGATCAAGGAGAGAGATTATGGGAAGGGTTCGTAGAGGAGATGGGGGCTGGGTGGAGGGAAGCAAGTGTTGGGTTGAAGGGAAAGGGAGAGGAGCGGGGGAAGCCATGGAAGAACTTGGCTTGGGGAGACTATTGGGAAGGATTGATGGGATAAAGGGTGAAATTTGGGTTTGGGTTCTGCTACGGGAATGGAGCCATGAACGCATTGACGATGGGAGGTTGCAAAGTTTTCACATTTCGGGGATTGTTTCGGAAAGGGAGCTTTACACACATTGTAGGCCAAAAAATATTATCTCAGGTTTCCGAAGGTTCTGATTGTAACAATGGATGGATGTATTATAAAAATATTTTATCAGTCTTATTTGTGAAAAATAAAGTATTATTGAAATATTTTATCATATTATTTGATTTGAGACTGTGTTATTTCAATAATAACATATTGAAAATTGAAATAACATGAAAAATATGCCGAATAACATAGCCGCAAATCAAGTAACACGGGTGAATATTTCAATAACACTGCAAAGTAATTGAATAACATCACATAATACTCGAATCACACTTCATTTTTTACAAAATAAATTGTTGGAATATTCCTGTAACACAACGGGATATTCGAGTACCACAGCTACTATTGGAATCCGAATGTAACTCTACGTTCGAAGTCTTGACATAATATGCGCTCGTGGCTGGCATGAGTTCCTTCAAGGAGAAAATATTGAGTTCGCACCAATTGCGTGTGCCAGCTCAATTTGTATGCTGCAGTTTTGTGAGATAATTCGTTGTTTGCATGTTAAATCAAAAGGGAGAATTTACATGAATATCACTTAAATCTTTGATATCACATAAAAAATATTATTATTATTAAATTTAAGACACTCAAATATTGAATATGACATTTTAATCATCAAATTTTTAAAGATAACAGGTTAACCACTGAGACACCACCAACAAAACTCCAACGTCCAGCACGAATCATGGGACGTGACATGGATCTCGAAGAACTCTTTTTGAGCAAGAAATATACAAACTTCAATTAAGAGTCATTCATAGCTCCAATTTATATATATTTATAGTCAAATTGACCAGAGCGACAAAACAAATCCAATGATACCAAAATTAGTTTAGTCTGAACCAAATCTAACCCCGATCAAGACGCTAGACCATGTTTGAAAATTTTTTGAATATATTTGAAATGTCAAACAGATATCGAATCCGACAAGTTTATGGTTGAATCGAGCGTCTCGGCGAGACTAATTCAACTAGCTCAAAATCGCTAAATTCTAACATTGTTAAGACATTAAAATGTTCATTAAACACTGTCCGAAGCAGGAAAGTCTTCTGAAACGTCCGATCAAATTGGTTCATATTTTTGCATTAATTTTACTCAAAACTCTATAAGTAGAGTCTCTTCATGCTTGAAGAAAAGCTCGAAGTTTTGAGAAGGAGTTGAACTCCTTAGCTCTGCAGTTAAGAAAATCACTTAGGTGCCAGTTTTGTGAATATCAACGTTTATAGTGCTATGTACTTAATTATTATCCCATTAATATTTTAACACATAGGACTTATATGAAAACATTTAATACAACATACATAATTATCCACACATCTAGCACCTATAAGAAAAATATCCTTATACTAATGCAAAACATTAGCCATAACAAATGCATGCCAATCAACCAAGTTAAGCAAATATATGAATTCATCCCCATCTCATAAAAGATTTTCTTTAGGATTAAATAGACTCAACAAACCCATAACTCTATATTGAATGGCTAAGGATTTGATAATTTGACTTATCAAAACACCAACCAATGTTCATGTTATTTTGACCCTCAATTAATGAACTAAGGTAAAAGGGCAATTTTGTAATATGGCACCGCTCACCTACCACATCTCACCTACCCCACCTACTTCACACCTACCTCCCACCTACCACTCTCTTGCTTCTATAAATAGAGAGAGTGTCAGACCTAGGAGAGCAAGGGAAGAGATCTTAAGCTACTACAAAGGAGGAGAGAATAGCTAGAGAGTTAGAGAGGAGGAGAGCATTTTGAGACCTTGTATCAAGGTGTCGCTTGAGAGGGAGGTCATAGAAGGAAGATGAGGGCTCCTCTCTATGTATAAGCTATGTATTCTCTATTTTTTTTGCCTTAGTGAACTATTTGATTGATTCCCTCCCGTGGACGTAGATCCAGTTGGATCGAACCACGTAAACGATCTATGTTTGCTTGTGTTCTTTGTGTTTCATTTTTTATGCTAGGAAGTACATATCTCACAACAATTGACGTCGTTTGTGGGAAGATTCATACTTCTTGGCTAGAAGTGTCCGCGTAAAGGTGTTCGCGGCCAGCGACGAAGAAGAGGAGTTCGACATTCACGAACAGAGGAGCAAGTGGATTGTGTTGCAGACAGCCGAATCGCGATAGATTTGGTGAGCAGTGAAAGCTTTGATCGACTGTATTAGCACTGCAGGTTGTGCGGTTCGGCGAGACGGAGGAAGAACTGCCCGTGAAGGAGCAGAGGAAGGCGGGTCGTTCGGTTCGCGAAGGAGGAGGATTTCCGCGACAGCTAGCACACGCCGCAACAGCTCTCGGAATTCAATAGGTGCTTAGCGAAACATATTTCAGACGTTAGTGGGGATCGAGCCACAATAATGGTGCAGACAGCCGAATCGCGATAGATTTGGTGAGCAGTGAAAGCTTTGATCGACTGTATTAGCACCACAGGTTGTTCAGTTCGGCGAGACGGAGGGGGAATTGTCCGCGAAGAAGCAGAGGAAGACGGGTAGTTTGCTCCGCGAAGGGGCAGATCTCGCGAAGGAGGAGGTTTTCCGCGATAGTAGCACATGCCGCGAAAGTAGAGCGCCGCGCTAGACGCG